GGCCCCCTGGGGCAGTCCCCCCCCCCCCCCCCCCCGCCATGTTTTCTACCAAGGGCTGGAACAGTGAGAGACGCTGCTGGGTGGAAGGGAGCCGCCAGGAAGCATGAGAGGTGTCTCTGCAACATTTATTTCTCTTCAAAGAAGAGTCCCCAGGTCTTGCTCAGAAGTGGTACACTGAATGGGCATGGGGCACAGGGGAGCCCGGCGCAGTGGATGGCCCTGAGCAGGATGTTGGGACAGGAACAGCCTCAAAATTTGGTGGCAGTGGTGAATGGGTCTCCTAATTTTGGTGTCTTAAAATACTTCAGCCTCACAACTGCAGTTGTATAGTTTTAAAATCTTTTCTCTTCTGAGCAGCTGCTGTCAGAGGGCCCTGGTTTTACAGGTGAGGGGTGCCTGACAGCGTGGACTGCCACTGTTTCGCCATTGTGGTCTCACACTGTGTGCCTGCCAGCCCGCCATGTCTGACACCACATCACCAGGGCCAGGGCACTGTCATTTCCACAATCCCAGCGCGATCCTGCCATGGCGTTTGGGGTGTAAATACTTCTCCTGAGGCCTGGAGCATACCTGGCTCCAGGCAGCCATGGATTGTAGAGTTGAAGACTGTGCTGTGTTTGTAGGAAAGGTAAAACTGCAAATATTTTCAGAGGGATGATGAATAATCCAGCAATTTCATGTCTCTCTTCACAGACTGATTACAGGAGTCTAGTAAGATAAACAGAACTCCCCTGAAGTCTCCAGCCTGGTGGCCTGACATTACATACCTGCCACCTGAAGCCGACGTGTTTCCATGTGCCCTTGCCACAAACAAAATAGATTTTACTTGGAGCCCAATTCTTACTAGGCAGAGGTCCCTGAAAAACTCTCTAGTCTCTTCTAGTCCCAAAGTCTGGATCAAGTTTACTTCTATCCTGACAAACTTGTCCACCTTTATTCTTAAAGATGTCCATCAGTACAGGCTGCATTACTTATCCAAGCAATCTACTCCAGTTTTCCCGTGCATCCTGTCTTTCTTGCTGCTTATTAAGCTTATTATTTCCAGTCCCATGCAGTGGCATGAAGAACGGTTCCCTGCCATGTGTAGTACCTGAGCCTTGCTTTCTGTGTAGCCTCCAGGTATGTCATTTTGAACTTCATGCATGCTGGCTGAGTATCCTTTAGAATTAAGATTATTATCTGAACAAGTAAGGTTCTTGCATTATTTATTTCAGATATTCAGCTCCTAACAGAATGTTAGGGAAAGTCTTGCTGTTAAAGAAATTATTTTTTTTCTGTTTTGCTCTAAGTAATTGAGTCACCCTTGCAATCTTTTCATTGTGCTATGTTTCCCAAGCCAGTAAAATTCTGTGTATAAATCAAGGAAAAATGCCTTCCCTAGAAATCTCATTTTGTGTCGAGTGTCTCTAGAGCTAATCAGGTATCATTAAGAAATTACACAGTGTTTGAAATTCAGAATCCCCTTGTGCAAAAACTGGATATCTTCGTGCATTGTTAAAACAGACACAGAGACTTTCTGTTTAAGAAGTGATAGATACCAAAAGCACATTCACTGTATCCTCAGAGGACGTGCTACCATCAGGTCAGCTAGCAAAAATAAGATCTTTTCTTGCTCTTGTATGGAAGCTATGCCACGGTATTCAGCAGGGCACAACTCTGCAGCCTAGTGAAACAAGTGTTTTGCCTCGAGCCCAAGCCCAGTACTGTTTCTATAGTTTGACAGTTGTGCTTTCAGAGCAAAAAACATAAGCAGTCCCTGGGCATCACCCTTGTGTTTGCTGTTACTCTTGGGAGGCCTGTTTACCCATACGCAGGGTTTGGATCAGTTCTGCAGGTGGCCTGGGGTTGTGGTGCCCTCTTATCTTCAGTACTGATGCACACAGGGGGTGTGTAGTCGCTCCCTTCCCTGGGACTGGAAGGGCAGTCCTTAGCAGAGCCACTGACTTCCATAAGGTCTGGGAG